AAATGAAAGCTCTTGATGAGTGTAACATCGGAATGAGCTTATTTATCTTTAAAAATATCATATAAGTTGACAAAATACAATATAATTATTTTTTTTATTTTATAACTTTTGCTATGATGTAGATAGCACAAATAATCACAAAAAAAATTTACTCATAAATAATAAAAAAATATTCAAAAAATAAACTCCCAGGTAGTAAATTTAGTTCTAATTTTGAACACTGGGTGGCGCGCGTATTAATTTCTAAAATCCGCCATTTGAATTCTACCTCCGCCATCTTGTCAAGCATTATTAAAATTTTGAAAAGAACTTGATTTAATTAAAAAAAAAAACAAGTTTTTAATCTAATAAAAAAAGTAATTTAACTTGTTGATAGAATTGTTAATTAATTAAATACAAACAGGCGTTATATAATTAATAATAAACGACGGGAATAACAAAAAATAAATTTAATGAGTATAAAACAGTTGGTATGTAGAATGCGATAGACGGATCAAGAAGTTTAATAGTTTTAAAGATGCTAGTAGCTTTAAATACCTCGGCATCCCGGGATGCTCAGTGGCGCCACGCAATTGTCAATTAACATTTTTACCGCCTTGGAAGAAAACACGAAGAGCCTTTACCGGGTACGGGAGAACTTGCGCATACCCTCACTCTTGATCCTTTTACTTTTATTTACTTGATACATTTAATTATGATTACACGCGTAATCTACGTCATAAAAATAATTATTTAATCTTTAAATATTTTAGGTGAACCACTAATTATTAACACTATTTTTAATACTTAATTTAATTATCAAAAAATAGTTTTTAATTTGACTAAAAACATTGGCACTGTGTGACTGCCGTATCTTGTAATAAATTTTATTAAATTCCACTGTATTTTCTTAATTATTGACATTTTTAAGGATATAAGCTCATCCCGACGTTACACTCATCAAGAGCTTTCATTTGAATACCCACATGCATTTTTGATATATTTTTCATATATATATATATATATATATGAAAAATTGATGTGGGTACTCAAATGAAAGGTCTCGATGAGAGTAACATGAGGATGAGCTTATATCTTTAAAAATGTCAATCGTTTACAAGATACATGATAATTTCTTAATTATGTATCTAGAGACAGAGAATTTTCTTTAATTGGTGCCTTTGCCTTTCTGGTGATTAATAAAAATAAAAAGAATTCTTTTTCTTATAAATAAATCCTGAGGAAAACACAATTCAGTGTCACCAGGTAGTCTAGATAAGCCTTGAGCGGGTAACTGTTATTGTTAAGGCTGTTGTGTGAAGTAAACTCTTTCCGGCACGTGTATGAGCCATTCATACGTCGACGATAACAGAGACGTTATCCTGGTTACTTGAATTACTCGGCAGTATGTTAGTGATGCTGTTAAACGTCTAGTACTAGCACTGAAGTTGACTAACACCGGGAGACTAGAGGACTCGTGCTTTAATCTCGGAAAAAATAATTACCAACGTCTTTCTTACACCTGCAGACCGTAAAACACGCTCACACCTCACTCATTTATTCTCTTAATCTCAACGTTTCTCCTCAACTGTCCTCTGTTCTCTGTTTTCTTCTCCGGCTCTTATCTCATTACTTCAAAGCTCTTTTATTATTTTTTATTCTACACTTATTCCGGCACCCAATGTGAATTAACTGAGAAAAATAACCGCAGGGAAGTTTAAACTTCTGAGAATAGTTATAAAATCAGCATACTTTTCACACCTCGCTTGTCTAACACTCAATATTTATGCCCGAGTGTTTGCAATTATTATTATTTTATCTTTTATTATTATCATTGTAGGATTTAACATATTACTTACCCTATTTTTGTTATTAATTTCCCGTGAACGTGCAGGTACGACGTCACAAATCTTTTGTTTACCTGAAAAAAAAAAAAATTTTTTTATATTAATTTTTAATAAATAATTCTGTAATAGGACCAATATTTTTCCGACAAATCCATTAATTAAAATTCATAATTTATATTACTAAAAGAATTAGAAAAATTTTGTCTCCAGGATAGTTAATATAGACACATAATTAAAAAATGACCTAGTATCTCGTGAGACTTTGTATCTTGTCACCTACTGACATTTTTAAAGATATAAGCTCACTCCGGCATTACACTCATCAAGACCTTTCATTTGAGTACCCACATCAATTTTTCATATATTCTATATATTTATATATATTATATATACGTATATATGAAAAATATATCAAAAATGCATGTGGGTACTCAAATAAAATCTCTTGATAAGCGTAATATCAGGATGAGCTTACTTCTTTAAAAATATTAATAATTAAGAAAGTACAGTGCATTAAACAAAAATCATTATTTATTAAAGCAAAATATTTTTGCTTATTTTTGAAATTGCGGCTTTCTTATTGGTCTTAATGATGATCTTATTTTTTGTAAAATTAACTTTGAACAACTTTTTTTTATGAAACTAATATTTCCTTCGTAATATCAAAAAATTGTGATTACTAATTAAAAATTGTTTGATGTAAATATATATATTTTGCCAATTATTGATATTAAAATATATATTTTTATGCTTTAAATTTAAAATGTCCTTAAAAATTTTTTTTCAATTTTAAATTTAGTCTAAAAATATAAAATTAAGACGGGCCTGGACCCATAACATGCAATAAAAAAATAAATTACCTCAACACTACTGAGCTGGGCCAGATCTTCTATATCACTAAGAGGTAATTTATTTTCACAGGCAGTGGCCGCAGATGTTGTACGTCTCATCCTCCTTCCGCCGGGGTGCACCCAAGTTTCGCGTCTTAATCCACCGGCGATATTATTAGCACCCTCTTTTTCCTTCATCCTGGCACGTTCCTTCCACTCACGTTCTTCCTTGCGTTTCCGCTCCGTTGACTCGTACTAAGAATAAAATAAAAAATAAACAACATAAACATCCAAGAAAATATATCATTAAGAATGGTAATTATTATTTAATAATCTAAAATCTAACTTTATAATAAAGCTTCCAGCGATCTAAACTAAATATATTTTTCATAGCTGAATTTAATTCACGGCAATTTATTTGAATTACTTACGTAATGTAGGTACTGACGGCAGTAACAGAAAATTAAAATATTATTTTTAGCGATGAAATTTCATTCATTTTATTTTTTTTTTTTTTTTTTTTTATTTATAGGTTGTTACTATTTATTTAATTGATAGTTACCTTCTTTCTATTTTCATCGAACAGCGCTATTAAACTCTCACGTGCTGAATGAAACGGGTTTGATGCCATCAATGAACGCATGTAGAAATAAACTGCGTCTAATTTACGTCTCTGGAAATGAAAAATTTATTTTTTTATTAATTTTAATATTTTTTATTTAAATATTTCATAATTGTAATTATTAAATCCAAAGAAATTTCATGTATTAATTTATTAAAAAAAAATTTGAAAATTTTCTATCTCTACATACATAATCAAGAAATGATTTAGTATCTTGAGAACTATTGAAATTTTTAAAGATATAAGCTCACCTTGACATTATACTCATCAAGACCTTTCATTTAAGTACCCACATCAATTTTTCATATATTTTATATATTTATATATATTCTATATATGTATATATGAAAAATATATCAAAAATGCATGTGGGTACTCAAATGAAAGCTCTTGAAGAGTGTAACATCCAGATGAGCTTATATTTTTAAAATCGTCAGTAGTTAAGAAAATACAGTACAATTTAACAAAAGTCATTATTTAATAATGACGGCATTGCTAATTTTTTTAAAAATACCTTAAAAAAAATTTTTTCCTTAAATATACTAGGTCTAAACAAAAATAATTTTTAAAATACTCACAGCATAATAAGCCAAAAGCGCTAATTGATTATACGGCCGACCATTTTTAGGATTAATTTGCTGAGCTTTGAGGTACCACCTAAAAAAAAAAAAAAATTAACCTCAACTCCATAAAAATCAACCCTAACCTAACCGACAAAACTTACTGTCTTGATTTTCCATAATTAGTAGTCTCATTGGCCTGTTCCTTGTACCTAGCCAGGTCTCCAAGAAACAGAAAAATCTTCTGCGCACTAATCAGCGCCAACCCAACAAACCCAAGACCTTTCGGTGGCGAGGATGAAGACAAAAACACCTCTAATTTAAACCTATAAGTATTCTCCAGAACAGTCAACAAATTCTCAAAATAAACCGTTCCATCATCAATAATCTTGAGCATAATTTTCTTGCAAACATCTCTCCTCTCCCCAGCTTCTTTGGGCATGATCTTCCTGAGCATCTCAATGATATTATAAAACAAAATCTTCCAGAAATGCTGCTCAACATTTTCCGCTTGGCAAAATTTAATATCAGTCTCCAACAAAGTCTGCAAACTCTGCTGCAAAGACTGTCTTAGGAACGCAACTCGGTCCCAATTAGCAGTCAAGCCTCCAGTAGTGAGCAACCAATCAAGTTCCCTGTCCACAGCTTCAATTCCCCTTAACAGAACCGCATTCTTTAAATTATCCGGACAAGAATCGTACCAAATAGGTCTGGAGTTGTTCATCTGTTCCGCAAGGTACTGCGGCGCAACGCCATCTAGCTGCAAGCTCTGCTGGAACTGCGACGGCGCTCTGCCCTTAGATGGCGCCACTTCAGGAACCAGCGCGGCTCTGGTTCCAGGAGAGGGAACTACGATAGGTTTGTTCGGGTTGTTCGGGTCGAACAGTGTCTTGCGGTTGAATCTGTCTTTGTACGGCGGCGACTGTGGCGCCTCCACGTTGGGAGCGGGAAGAACCAGAACTCCCGGTTGCTGAACATTGTTCCTCAGTTCCACAGACAGTTCCGCGTTCTTGCCGTCTTCTGACTCGCACATAGAGATTCGCTTTCCGGTTCTCCAGTTCTCCTCGTTCCTATAAGCCTCTCTGCTGGACTCGCGGCTCCTCCTGCGCTCGAACCTATTATTATAATTATTGCTGTTCTCACGATTGTACTGATTGTTCTTCCTCTCGCGGCTGTTCTGTCGGTTCCTTTGCTCTTGTTCCAGGAACGGTTCCCGGAACTGTTCCCCGAACTCGCGGCTGTTCTGTCGATTTCTTTGATCTTGTTCCAGGAACTGTTCCGCGAACTCACGGCTGTTCTGTCGGTTCCCCTGTTCCAGGAACTGTTCCCCAGACTCGCAGATGTTCCGTCGGTTCCTCTGTTCCTGTTCCAGGAACTGAAGTTCTTCAGACTCAGTGCGCTTTCGCTCGCGTCTCTTCTTCCTGGAACGGTTCCGCTTGGCTTGGTTCCCGGAACCTTCGCTGATGCTGACCACCGAGGAACTGCGGCTTAACCGTTCGTTTTCTAATTTTTCAGACAGTTCCACTTCCTCGCTCCAGTCCAAGATGTCAGCTGGTGCTTCAGGGCTCTTAGCCTGGTAATTGCGCTCAATTTCGGCATTGTTGGTATTGTTCCGGTACTGCTGGTTCCTGGAGTAAGTTGCTGGAGAAACTGGAGGAGGCATCAGAATATTGTCAGCTCGGCTCAGACTTTCCATGCTGGTGTACATGGTGCTGTTGCTGCCTCGTCGGTCGTAGGAACGAGTCATCTCCTGGCTTGGAGTGTGAGATCTGGTGCTTGGAGCGGAATATTGGTCTGGAGTTCCAGGTCGGTGAGAAGGAAGATCAAGTTCCTCTGGTCTGAATCTTCCTCGTCCGCGACTTCGTGTTGGTAAGGTGTTCCACTGATTGTGGTTCGAGTATCCGGGGTTGTGGTTCCCGGAACCGGGGTTCAAGTTCCCGGAACCGGAGTTCAGGTTCCCGGAACCGGAATTTTGATGAGAAAAATTGGGAACTGGAGGCATGTTGATCATCTGAGAAGGCATTGGGTGGGAGTAATAATTATTGTAATTACCAGAATCCCAGGGCTCGTCGTTGTGATTGATCGGAGGCTCAATTCCGTTCTCCTCAAAGTATTTACGCTGCAGTCTGGGAGGCAAGGACTCGATTTTTATAGCGTTCATCTTGGGAATCCGGCGACCCGTTGGAGGCTTCCGGGGGTACTTGTCAAGCTCGCTTCGGGTGTCTCGGCGGTATGTGTAGTCGTCCTCGGGTCTTCGGCGCTGGTCCCGAGGCCGGTTGAAGCTTTTGTTCACTGGAGACTCAGGTCGCCAGCTCTCTTTGTCGTTCTCACGGGGCTTGCGTGAAAAACGCTTCAAGTCTTTGTCGCGGGAGGATTTTTCTGAGGGGATGCTTTGTCGTGATCGGTTTCGGGAGTCCGTTCGGTGACTCAGGTTTGACTGGGTTTCCCAGTCACGTTTGTCCTCTTTTTCACGATCCCACATCTGTGGTCTGGAAAAATTAATTAATATGTATTCAACAATAAGAAAAATATTATTTTCAAAATAGTCATATGATAAAGTTAGTTTTTTTAGTGAAATTTAGGGTCATATAGTCAATTTATTATAGTAAGTATTTAGACTAAATTCGAAAATTATCTCTAGATACATAATTAAGAAATGATCTTGTATCTAGAGAACTATTGACCTTTTTAAAGATATAAGCTCATCCCGATGTTACACTTATCGAGACCTTTCATTTGAGTACTTACGTCAATTTTTCATATATTTTACATATTTATATATTCCACAAATACCATATATATATATATAAAATATATAAGAAAATGCCATGTGGGTACTTAAATGAAAGGTCTCGATGAGAGTAACATCAAATTGAGTTTACTTCTTAAAAAATGTCAATAATTAAGAAATGACCTTGTGTCTTGTAAAATAATGACATTTTTAAAGATATAAACTCATCACGATCTTACACTCTTCAAGACCTTTTATTTGAGTACCCACATCAATTTTTCATATATTTTATATATTTATATATATATTATATATATATGTATACACGAAAAATATATGAAAAATGCATGTGGGTACTCAAATGAAAGCTCTTGATGAGTGTTACATCAGGATGAGCTTATATCTTTAAAAATATCAATATTTAAGAAATTACAGTGCAATTTAACAAAAATCATTATTCAATAAAGCAGAATTATATTAAAAAAAAAAAAAATAAAATATCTTCTAGATAAATTTTCATTAAAAAAAAAAAAAAACTCCAAAAATAAAATTACCTATTATCCTGTTCAGAAATGGATTCATAAATTTTTTTCGGTACATACAACTGCTGCTCAGGTTTTTTATTTTTCCGTCTATCAGCATCCATGTGATTGTTATTAGATTTGCCATGATGGTGGTCGTTGACAGGCCGGCGATTAACATGTACGTCATTGAATTTATCAGCCAACATATTAACTGAGTTGTTAGAATGCTCCGAAGGATTGTTCAAACTAATATTATTAAAAGGCCTTTTAAGCCGATCTTGAACCGAGGACTTATGAAGACTCGCATCATAATCAAACTCATCCTGACGGTCTGATTTTTTAAGCGGACCGCTGCCTGGAGTGTATATTTGCTGAGGACCGCGGTTCAAGCCTCTGCGTCCTCCCATTAATTTATTTTTGTCAAAATTGTCTGAAAATTATCAATAATTAATTAAACAGTCAACATAAATAAATTAACACTTGCCAATAATTGGTTATTAATTATTGAGAAAAAAAAAATTATATAATGCATTAATTATAATTAAATAAATTGTGATGAAACACCAGAGCCAGATAATGAAATTGATGACGTTTAAATAAATAAACAAACATTGTTTTTGCAGCGTTTCAATAAATTGCATTGTTTAAGGTTACCTCCGACCTAATAAATAAATTTATTTATTATTAAACTCAGGCTTTTGCAATCTTATAAACTTTTACGGTTTCTTCACCCCAACACAATTAGATTATTTAATTAGTGAGTAATTTTTACACAATATAACACTTTAATTAATTATTTTAAATGTACCTTGAGAATTATCAATCCACTTTCTGCGTCCTTTGTCGTGGGTAGCCATGTTTAATAATTCCCACCATTTTTAATTTCTCCTAGTTTTTTAAACCGCAAGGGCGCGCTTCGGTTGAATAATTCTGCGCATGCGCACTTTAATTTTTTTATAAAATGAATTTAAATTAAAAAATTAAATTAATTTATGACATTAAAGTTAGCAGTCATTAAAAAAAATTTTAATTTTTTTTAACAAATAAATTATTTAAAAAAAAATTGCATTTTTTATTTTTTTATATTTCTATACTTAAAAAATTTTAAATGCAATTTTGTTGTAATAATTTTTTTTGTTAAATAAAATATTAAAAAATATTTAAGTGATTGTTAATTTTAAGATAAGTAATTAATTTATATTTTTTTAAATATATCTTTATTGATACAAAATATAAGTTTACAATATTTATAAAAATTAGCAATGATAAATAATTATTATTTTAAATACATTGACAATTTTTAAGATTATTAGATACAATTTCTTTTCGATTATGTCCGTTGTTTTTCTTTTAAGTAAAAAAAATATATAGTTATAATTACATAAGATTATTTTTTATTTATAATTAGGTTTTTTTTTTTTTTTTTTTTTTTAAGTGGATTTTTATAGGATTTTACACACATGATTTTAAAATGAATAATTTTAATGAGTTTTTGATTTTTAGTTTGAGTAAATATGCCAAATAAAATTTAAATAATTAATTTTTTAGGAAAATTATAACTGACATTTTTAATTTTGTTAAATTACACTGTACTTTTTTAACTATTGCCGTTTTTAAAAATATAAGCTCATTCTGATGTTACATTCATCAAGAGCTTTCATTTGAGTACCCATATGCATTTTTATATATTTTTCATGCATACATATATATAAATATATAAAATATATGAAAAATTGATGTGGGTACTCAAACGAAAGGTCTCGATGACTGTAATATCAAGATGAGCTTATATCTTTTAAAATATCAATAATTTACAAGATATAAGGTCATTTTCTTAATTATTGATATTTTCAAAGATATAAGCTCATTTCGATGTTACACTTATCGAGACCTTTCATTTAAGTACCCACATGATATTTTTCATATATTTTATATATATGGTATTTATGAAATATATAAAATATATGAAAAATTGATGTGGGTACTCAAACGAAATGTCTCGATGAGTGTAACATCAGAATGAGCTTATATCTTTAAAAATGTCAATAATTTACAAGATATAAGGTCATTTTTTAATTATTAATATTTTTAAAGATATAAGCTCATTCTGATGTTATACTCATCAAGAGCTTTCATTTGAGTACCTACATGGCATTTTTCATATATTTTTCATATATACATATATAAATATATATAAATACATAAATATATAAAATATATGAAAAATTGATGTGGGTACTCAAACGAAAGGTCTCGATGAGTGTAACATCAAGATGAGCTTATATCTCTAAAAATATCAAGAGTTCACAAGATACAAGGTAATTTCTTAATTAGTTATAAAAATAAAAAAAATTTATCACCAAAACCAGGATATTTACCAAACCAAAAACCAATTTATCTGAAAACCTTCAGTCAACAGTGAGTTTCATCCGTTTAGACTCATGAGAGCACATGAAGTCATACATAAGCTCAACCTTCTTAAAAAACAGGACCTTAAAATTAGGAAGCTCAACAATCTTGTCCTTATTATTAGCCATAAAAGTAAGCGCGTCCTCGCGGAGCCTGATAGCGTTGAAGTCATCAGCAGCATCAACAATTCTGAGGACATTATCAACAGTCATGAGCCTGAGGAGAGTTGTCTCGCAGAGACACTTTAGCTTGTTGACCTGGTAGATATTAGCGACCTCCAGCATCTGGAGAGCACTGTTGACATTATCAACAGCCTTGGACCTGCCGGTGTAAAAAAAGGTCAGCATGTCCGCCAGAGACTCGGCCTTGATGTTGTTGATCTCGATGATCCTGTTCTTGACCTCCCGGGTGTCAGCGGTGAGCATCTTCGCGAAGACCGGGCTGTGAGCCGCGAGGATGATTTTGTGCGCCGGGAGGTCGTGGCCCTCGATGGTGAGGGTGACGTCGCTGAACAGCTGGGACTTGTGGAACTTCCTAAGGTCCTCGAAGAAGTTGGTGTCGTCCATACGGGTCAGCCGCTCGTCTTCGATGAACCCGTTCCAGAGGATCTTGCACATGATGTTGACCGTGTAGACGTACGAGTAGTGCCCGTTTATGTACACCTCCTCGTAGGTCACCGGCTTCTTCATGAAGTCGTTGATCACGCACAGGTTTTTCCATTTGTTCACCTTGATCTCGCGCTTCCAAGGGCCGTCCTTGCTGGTGATCTCCACTGTGGCGTCGGCTAGCTCCAGGTTTCCTTTCATCACTCGCACGTCGATGTAACCTGTGTTGTTCACTCTCAGCCCCAGGTTAAAGGCCACGTCGTTCACCCCGTCCATGAAAAACTGGTCCGAGTAGATCCACTTCATCGGCTGGAAAATATCTTTTGCCTCCCATTCGAACCGTACTGTCGTTGGTCGCTTTATCACAGACATTTTTTGATCCAGGTTGATTTTCTGAAAATATTTGTGAGACATTTAAAAAATTATTATAAATAGTATATTACATACCTAGGCCAGTAAAATAAGAAAAGTCTCAGACCACATGTAATTGTTGGCCGAGGCGAAGCCGAGGTTGACAAACATGTGATCTGAGGCTTCACTTTTTACTGGCCAAGGTGTGTATACTATTTTTCTGCTCGACGTAGCCGGAACGTGGCAACTTTGTTTAGCGCAGCGGCCAGAAAGTTGCCACTTTCCGGCCGGAGGGCAGAAAAATATATAAAAGCAATTATTTGAAATATTTTTTAGTTCTAATTTAATAAATGCAAAAAAAAAAATAATTTATTTAAAAAATTGTTTATTGAAAAAAAAAAAATTACTACTAATTATTCATAACATTAAAATCAGCTGATACTTAAAATTTTTTTTTGGAGTTTATTTAATAAATAAATTATTTTTAAAAAATTGCATTTATATTTTTTTTATAAATTTTTCTTGACATTTATTTAAAAAAAAAGATCAAATGTCTCTTAATTTAAGTATTAAAATTGGAGCATAATTTTAAACGTCAAAATTTATAAAAAAAAAATTTTTAAAACTATCTAAATTATGTTCAGTAATTAAAGTACGTGAATAATAATTTAAAAAAATAATCTTACTTGAATTACAATTTGCAGCTTTAAATTATTGTTATTTATAAATTCTCATAAGATGCTCAGGCTTTAAAAAAAAATGCCGGTTAAAAAAAATACACAAAGGAAATAATAAAAATTATATATTACCTGTATATAAATAATTAGTAATTACAATTTTTAATAAATAATACTGTAAACGAATATGTATAACCTCAAAGAGTTGAATTTCTTAAAGAACAGAGAACAGAATTTATTTCAGCTTTATTTTTGGCAGCTTTAACTCGAGCGCCGCCATAGTGTTTTGATGGTGGCGCTGAGTGTCAGTTTTAAAGTTTTAAATTTAGAAACTGTCAGAATTTGTACGCCATTTTGGACACAGTGAAACGGAGTTTTTTTTAGAGTAAAAAAGTATCCGTCAATTTTTTCAATTAATATTAAAAAAAATTTCACATTGAGAGAAAAAATTAAACATTTATTAAGAATAGTTTTTTTTAATAATTAATTTTCAATAAAATTATCAGATGTTTAATTATTTTAATGATATTAAAAATTTTTTTATAATTCTATAGCATATTTTAATTGTTATAAAAAAATTGTTTGACATTAGTTAGCCATTTTTCATTTTTTTTTTAACAAAAAAATTTATTTTTAAAAAATGCAATCTCTACTTGTTAATTTTTTTTTATAATTATTTTTTTGTTACAAAAATTCTTAAAATTATTGAATTTCTGCTAAACTAATTTTCATAAAAATTCTACATGTAGAATTAAAAAAAAATAAATTTGTTAAAGACATTTTCAAAATTAACAGTAATCAGCTGATTTCAGCATTATTTTTTTTGAGGTAAGTTTATTAATTGTTAAAAAAATATTCTTTAAAAATTAAAAATAAAAAGTGCATACCTTACCAATAATTATAAAAATAATACTAAAGTTAGCCGACATTTTTAATTTTTTGATTTTTCTTTAATAATTAAATGAGAACAAAAAAATATTTTTTAAAAATTGCACTTAAAGTTTTTTACAAATGAAAATTTTTTTTTTATTTTTTTTTAATGATTTTTTCAATAAAAAAAAATTCTAAAAATTTTTAGATGTCGGCTAGCTTAATTTTCATAAATAAAAAATATTTAATAATATAAATTGAAAAATATTTATTAAAATAAAAAAATACATTAAAATTTGACAAAGTTTCGAGCGTCTACATTAATAGTTATATTTTTCAGAATCGCCTCATAAAGAAACTCAGGCTTGGAAACAAACATCTTTTTATAGTCCGGCAGCTTAAAAATCTTCTCAATATTTTCGCTGAGAAACTTAAAAGATTTCTCTCTCAAGTTTTCGGAAACATTTAAATCCAAAGCTTGGACAATCTCGACGACATTATCAATATCAAGGTGAGTGGTCAAAGTTTCTTCACAAATTTTAATTAAATCCGTAATTTGGAATCTGAGCGCTAGCTTGTACATCTCCAAAGCAACCTCAACATCCTCGGAAGCTTTGGTCCATCCGGAGTAGAAAAATTTCAGCATTTCTAACACCGCGTCGACTGAAACGTCGGTCACTTCAACTTTATTTGATTCCCCGGGGAGTGAATTTTCATTTGCGGGAAATAGTTGCAAAAAAACAGGGCTGAAAGTCGCGAGAACTATTTTGTGAACGGGAATCTCGAGTCCTTTGACTTTCAAAATAGCGTCGCTGAAAACTTGCGAGAAGTAGAAGTGTTTCTCCAAGTTAGTGAAGAATTCCCTCGGGATTTTTTCTTCGACCTCGTTGAAACCTCGCCAGGTTATCTCGCAGAAGACTTTTATTGCTACTAATAAGGTTTCCCCGAAGCTGTCAAGGAGAACGAATTCTTCCGGCTCGCGGATCAGGTCCTCGAAGATGCAGGTGTCTTTCCACTGGATATCCTGTTCTTCTATGAAATCTCCGATCTTGATCTTGATGTTTGTATTTGCGAGCTTCATGTCACTCTTGTGCAATTGCACGTCAATGTTCTCATTGCTGTTCATTCTTAATGCGATATTGAAGGTCACTTTGTTGTCGAGGTTGAACAAGTCCGAGTACACCCAGTCTACTCCGTAGAATCTTGTCTCAAAGTTCCACACGTAGTGTGAAACTGTTGGTACCATTTTTGGTAATTTTTTTTACAAACTTTAAAAAAAAAAAAATTCACAAACTTTTTTAAAGAAAATTTAAGATTTAAATTTTTTACAAACTTTTTAAAAAAAAATTATTTACAAAATTAAAAAAAAATTTAAGACTTAAAATTTTTACAAATTTAAAAAAAAAAAATTTTAATATTTTTATTTTTGTTAAATAAAATAAAAAAATAATTAATTGACTTTTAAATTAAATTTCACTAGTTTATCAGATTATTATTTAAAGAATTTTTGTTGTCACAAATAAATAAAAACTTTCCTACACTTTAACTTCTCAAAATTTTAGAGTGAACTGAAGTTAAAACGTGCTAGACTAAAATGAAAATTTTCAGCCAAGAAATTTAAGTATATATAGAAGTGACTGTACCTAATTTAGAAATCTAATTTGCAATAATTTAAAAGCAACCGATTTAAATATAATACTATATAGATATACAATTAACATTAAGGTATTATTTCTAAGTCAGGGGTGTGCAACAATAGCTATTGGTTTGAAGATTTACGGTATAGCTTCGGTATAGGGGTGGTTTCTTCAATACCTGCATACAATCATTTGCACTAATACAAAGAATTTAAAGTTCTATTGATGACTAATTTAGATTGATGGCTCGTAAATTTATGACAACAATTACTTGAGTCACTAATTAGAGGAACTCATTAGGGCTTATGCTAGGTAATTAGAATTTTTTTTTACTTGTTTGTGTTTAATTCATCTTTAGAAAATTAACTTTTAGAATTAAAAATAAATTAATTTTTAAATTGGTCATAAATAGTTTATAAAATAAAATTTTTTAACAATTTATTTTATTTATATAAAAAACACTGGCCTGGTTATTGACACTTGCAATTTTATTTTAATTAAAAAAAACCAATCAACTATAATAAATTTATAAACATAATTTTTAAATTAAAATAAATTTAAAAAAAGTAAATTACCAGGTATACATAAAAAAATTATTGACTTAAATTAAAATTATGATTATTTTTATTAACTGAAAAATTATTATATAATACTGACAGGTAAATCTTAGAAAACAAATTTAAAAAAAATTATTTAATCAAAAAAGAAAATAATTTTTTGTTCACAATTAAAAAAAAAGAATTTTTACAATAATTTATTCTGTTCAAAATTAAAAAAAAAATTATTTAATCAAAAAAGAAAATAATTTTATTTTTTTGTCCACAATTAAAAAAAAAGAATTCTTACAATAAATTATTCTGTTTAAAATTAAAAAAAAAATTATTTAATCAAAAAAGAAAATAATTTTTTTGCTTAAAATTAAAAAAAGAATTCTTACAATAATTCTTTTTGTCCAAAGTTAAAAAAAAATTAATTAATCAAAAAAGAAAATAATTTATCTGCATAAAATTAAAAAAAGAATTTTTACAAAAAATTATTTTTCTAATTTTACATCAGGATGATAAACTCTCATATGATTAACCATATTCCCCCTATGAACAAATTTTGAAGGACAAATTTCACAAGCAAACTTAAGCTTGTGAGTGACCATATGTTCATCTCGCTCATCCTCGTACTCAAATTTGATCGAGCAAACATCACAAGCAAAGGGTTGATCTTTAGAGTGAACCAATAAATGTTTCTTTAGAGCACTGGTCTGTCTAAAAATAGCCTCGCAAGTAAGACACTTGTAAACGCGAGGTTTCGGAGGGTCTACTTTAGGGACGTGAATGTTTTGCATGTGTTGCTTCAAGTACTTGACTTCTCGAAAGTGTTTGGAGCATATTTCACAGTGGTAAGGTTTCGGGACTCTCATGTGGATTCTAATGTGTCTTTTAATATTGCTTTTCTCGCTGAATTGCTTCGAGCAAATGTCACATCGGAAGGGTTTCTCCCCGCTGTGGATCCTCATATGTCCATTCAGGTTTCCTCGGTGGGTGAATTTCGCCGGGCACATTGTGCAAGCGTACGGACGCTCTCCAGTATGCTGCATCATGTGACGGTCTATGTGAGACTTGTATCGACATTTTAGAGGACACAAGTTGCAACAATAACTCTTTAGTAGGCCGTTTTGTATTATTGTGTAATTGTTACGGTCACTTGGTTCGGTCTCGTCTCGAAAGTCTAGAAAATAAAATTTTTTTTATAAAAAATTAATTAAATAATTATTAATAATTAATTTTTATAAAAATTTCATTAAAATTATAATTTTTTTAGAAAATAAAATTATTTTTTTTATAACAAATTAATTATATAATTAATTTTTGTAATTTTTATAAAGATTTAATTAAAATTGTAATTATTATAAAATTTTTTATCTAAAAAATTAAATGATTAATTTAAAAAAAAAAAATTGAGAGACATTAAATAATTTTTTTAAATTTTGTCATAAATTTGGACAAAAAAAATTTCTAAAAAATTTAAATACAATTTTTTTAAAAATAAATTTCTGAACATAGTTAATTTTCTGAAAAAAAAAAAAAAATGAAAAAATTGAGTGCCATAAATTTTATATTTTTTTTTTTTAATTAAAATAATTTATCTTGATTAAAAAAAAAAATTTTTTTTACTCCAATAAACTTAAAAATTGTTAAAAAAAAATTCTTAAAGCTATCAGGGCTTTGTTTTATTTTTTAATAATATTCTTTTAAATTTATAAAACTTACTTGTTCGTAAATCTCTTTTAATATCCTCGATATTGACAAATGAAAAACCTTGCTGAGAAGTTTCTCTAGATGATTGTTGATGCTCGGTGTTTTCTCCATATTTGAAGCTAGTTTCAGTAACTGATAAAGGATCATCATCATCTAGAATTGTCGTGCAATAATTCTCTACAGGTGTTCTTTTGTAAACTTCCTCATCGGTTGGGAATAAAATTTCAGCCTTTACAATTGGAATATCCCCAATCTCTTTTTTAATACCCAAAAAAAAATAGTAAATTTAATAAAAATCGAAAAAATTTTTTAAACTAAAAAAAAAAAAACTTTTACTACAATTAAATAAAAAAAAATTTTTTTTGTACCTGTCATATCAGAGGTAAATTCATCATCCAAGTTTTCATTTGTTTCTACTTTTATTTCTTCAATATCAATTAAATTTTCTTGATTAAATTCTCGGTGATTTTCTTTTCTCACTTTAAAATCCTTGAAAAATTTTTATATTAATAATTAACACTCCAATTTATGCAATCTAAAATTTGTTATTAAAAACATAACCTTACCTCATCAATATTCTCTTCAATTTTCACAATCAGCTGATCTGATAAACAATTATTAATATTCATTTTTTTGAGTAAATATTTTTGTTATTAAAAAAATTTCAAAATTTTAATTTTTTTTAAATTTATAAATTAATTGCTAAAAATAATTACAGCGGAATGTTTTCAACTTTTTCTCTTTTTATCTCAATATTGGCAACGTGGAGTAAAAAATGCTGCCAATATTACAGGCTGTAACAAAATTAAGCGCGCAATTAACACACTGTCAGTTAAATTTTTTTTCTGATAATTAATTATTAAAAAAAATTCTTAACTTTAATTAAAAAAATTGGTTGCCATTTTTAATAATTATTGTCACTGATAAAAACAAATTTTTACGCGCTATTTCAAATTTTCCCGGTAAATTATTCAGAGGGCGCCACTGAAAAATTTTAATGCGCAAAACAAAAACGTGCTGATAATTGTGTTATTATTATTGTGAATTGTGCTGTGAAAAAAAATTATATTTGTTTATAAACAAAATAAGGTAAGGTCAATTGTTGTAATTACTTGTTTTATTATTTTTTTTAAGATTATTTAATTATAACTTTTATTTTTTAGCAGTTTTTCCTAAAAACTGTTGAGAAAATTAATCAGGTGATCATGTCAAAAATATTCACGCCGACAAACCAGATCAGGTTGACGAACATTGCTGTTGTGAGGATCAAGAAAACCGGGAAGCGGTTTGAGATAGCTTGTTACAGGAACAAAGTTGTTTCTTGGAGAAATAATTTGTAAGTTAATTTTTTTAATTATTTTTTTTTTTTGGTTATGTGACAGGTTTTAAAATTTAATTTAATTATTTTAATGTTTATTAAAAATTAAATAAATTAAATTGACCGAAATCTAAAAATTTATTTTAATTATTTTTAATATTAAAAATGTCAATTTTAACATTTTTTGAATTTCTATAAAAGATATTTTCAATTTTTTTAAAACTTATTTATCTGTTTAAAAAATTATAATTTTTACTAAAATTAAGAGAAATCTAATGATTTTTATAATTTTAACAAATAAATTATATCAAAAAAAATTTATTTAAAATCTAATTTTTTACACTTAGTTTTTATAAAAAAAATTAAAAAAAAAAAAAAAAATAAAGTGTCTACTAAATTTAGTGTCAAAAATATTAATTATAATTTTTTTTTGTCAATTTAAAATAGATTTTAATTTTTAAATATAATATAAATTAATAATAATTTTTTTGTCAATTTTAAATGAATATAAATTTTATTATAAAAAAAAATTTTTTTTATTAATTAAATTTTCAATTTTTAATAAATTTTAATTTTTTTGTCAGTCTTAAATAAATATTAATTTTTAATTTAAATTAATTATAATTTTTTTAGTCAATTTAAAATAAATTTTAATTTTTAAATATCAATTTTAAATAAATATTAATTATAATATAAATTAATTATAATTTTTTTGTCAATTTTAAATGAATATAAATTTTATTAAAAAAAAAAAAATTTTTTTTCTTAATTAAATTTTCAATTTTTAATAATTATTTAATTTTTAATAAATTTTAATTTTTTTGTCAATTTTAAATAAAAATTAATTTAATTTAAATCAATAAATATTAATTATAATATAAATTAATAAATATTAACTATAATTTTTTGTCAATTTTAAATCAATGTAAATTTTATTAAAAAAAAAATATTTTTTTAATTATTTAAATTTAAATTCAGAGAAAAAGACATCGATGAAGTTCTCCAGACCCACACAGTGTTCTCCAACGTCTCTAAAGGTCAAGTAGCAAAAAAAGAAGACTTAATCAAAGCCTTCGGCAATGACAACCAGACAGAAATCTGCAAAGAGATCCTAGCTAAAGGCGAGCTCCAGGTCTCCGACAAAGAGCGTCATTCCGCCTTGGACTCATCCTTCAAAGATATCGCGACAATAATCACCGAGAAGTGCGTGAACCCGGACACAAAGCGTCCGTACCCGGTCTCGATGATCGAGAAGGCGCTGAAGGACATCCACTTTTCAGTGAACCCGAACCACAACTCCAAGCAGCAGGCTCTGGATGTCATTCCCAAGCTGAAGAGCGTCCTGCCGCTAGAGCGGGCCAGGATGCGAGTTAGGGTCATTGTTACCAATAAGAATGCCAAGAAATTGAGGGAGAAGATGGACCCGCTGATCAGCGAAGTTGAAAATGAAACTTGGGAAGACGGAGCGCTGAATTTAATTTGTCTGATTGACCCTGGGCAGTATAGAGAGATAGAGAAGATGGTCAAGTCTGAAGCTAAAGGTGCTGGCACTGTTGATCTTCTCGATCTTAAGGAAGTTACTGAGGGAGATAAGAAATTGGATTAAAAGATAGTTTTTAAGTGTGGCCAGAATTTTTTTTTTAATTTTTAAATAATTTTTTATATCAAAGCGAAAATATTGATTGCATAAAAAAATTTTTTAATAAAAATTGTTCAAAATTTAATTTAAAAAAAAAAAATGTCTTAATTTTTTCTTACGACCAATATTCTCGCTTTAATATAAAAAATTTGATATTAATTTAGAAATGTTGGCTCCAAAATATATAATAATAATAAAATATAATTAAGATTGTAAGAATTAATAACTGAAAAATTTGTATTCGAGTTAAATAAAAAATTTTCTACACCTACGCTTTAACTTTCAGAATACCTTAAATTATTTACATTAATTAATAAATACAGCTATTTAATAATTAATCGGTAAAGTAACTTAATTAAATTATTTAATTTTAATATTTGATGAGGTTTTCTTGTCTTAGTTAATAACTAGTCTTTTGTCTCGAGGATCATAGATATAGAAAACCCAAGTGATTATATATTAGTCTAAGGAATCAATTATTTCTCTTGGACCTCCGCAGGCGGGATGTAAATGCTTTCTGTACGCTGGTCGCACTTGGCAGCGATTCGCGAGACTGTGAATAAGAACTCCGAGAGACGGTGCAGGTAATTTTGGGTCTCTTTGTCCAAGAAACCGTTGTAGACTAGGGGGGTTATGCTTCTTTCCGCTCGCTTGCAGATTGTTCGAGCTACGTGGAGAGATGCTGATGCTTTTCCACCTCCCTGGAATTATTTTATATTTTTTTAATTTTTTGAAGATGAACTACATAATTTAGAGATATAAGCTCATCCTGATGTTACACTCATCAAGAGCTTTCATTTGAGTACCCACATGCATTTTTGATATATTTTTCATATATACATATATTAATACATATATATATATATATATATAAATATATAAAATATATAAAAAATTGATGTGGGTACTCAAATGAAAGGTCTCGATGAGTGTAACATCAGGATGACCTTATATCTTTAAAAATGTCAATAGTTCACAAAACATAAGGTAATTTCTTAAATATTGATATTATTTTTAAAAATGTAAGCTCATCCTGATGTTACACTTGTCAAGAGCTTTCATTTGAGTACCCACATCAATTTTTCATATATTTTATATATTTATATATATTATATATATGTATATATGAAAAATATATAAAAAATACATGTGGGTACTCAAATGAAAGGTCTCGGTGAGAGTAACATCAGGATGAGCTTACATCTTTAAAAATGTCAATAGTTTTTAAGATACAACGTCATTTGTTAATTATTGATAATTTTTAGAGAAAAATTATTAAAAATTTTTTTTTTTCTAATTAATCTAATAAAAAACTAAAACTCACCGGTATAATATAATCCTCCGGTGGAGGTAACTGATTAGCATACTCAGTGATCCACTCTTCAAGATCCTGGGTGTGTTTAGTCTTAAAAGAATTAATCTTACTAGATTTCTGTATCCTGGTGATTGCGTTATTGATATCAAACAAAATCATCTGGACCCGCTTGAGTTTATCAACATAAGGATGCTGAACAGTAGTCTCACAAGCGAACTCACGTGCGAGCCCAATGTAGGAGGACAGTTCATCAGTTGCGCCTATCGCGTTGAAAATTACATCATCATCTGTCAGCTTGTCACTTTTTTTCTCCGAGGAGCTTGACAGAAACGCTTTCTGAATAATTTTACTCTCAACTCTAAAAACAATTAATTAATAACAATTTAATTTTTAATTAACAACAACAATAATTAATTTTAGTTTGAGGTTATGCACAAGACTTACCGCTGTCGCACTAGTGGACTTAAATGCGAGTTGTACACTAATAAATATTTTCTCCAAGAGTGTTTTACTAACTCCATTATTATTTAAACACTTTTTATAATTATTTATTTATTTTATTTTTTAGAACTTTAATTTTAAAAAAACAAAAATTAAACCCTCACATTTATGCGTCGCCTTTTAAGTGTTTTTTCTAAGTTAAGTCTGTTTTACCGACTCAAAAAATACAGAATTTTTTGGTAATATTTTATATTAACAATTATATTTATTTTTTCTATAATTATGTATAAAAATAATTTTCATTTTTTTTTACAATCATTTATATAATTTATTTATTTAATTTTCTTGGCTCGAATCAACTGTGTCAGGGAATACTGGATCCCAAAAGCCAGGAGGTGTAAAGTACCGGTAGTTAAATTTCGATCGATGACGAGAGCAGAGATTCTTACGTTGTTCTTTTTCTTTTTCTGTCAGTCCTAAATTATTATAATACTGAAACAATAATTTTGTAAATTATTTAAATGTTTAATATTTTTTTATGGCATTCAATTTAGTAGTCATTTGACAAATTTTTTGATTTTATTTAACAAATTTATTTTTTTAAAAATTTTTAAAAATATTTAATATTTTTAATAAGTAACTTTGATGTTTTTTTTTAAACAACTGTTCAAAAAAATACATTACCTTTTCACAGTCAGAACAATCCCAACCACGTAATTTGGCGCGTTCACCTTTATTCCTAATAACTTCACCAATGAAAGGTTTCTCTGATGGACTTTTCTTCTTTTCAGGTAGCCTAAACAGAATAAATAACAATTTTAAAAATCTTTTTTTAAAAAAAAAAACAATTTTATATTTATTAAAATTTCTCCAGGTCAATTTTTTTTTCTATAATCTATATTATTAAGAAAATAAATAAAATTTCTAGATCCACAAGAAATGACCTTGTATCTGGTGAGCTATTGACATTTTTAAAGATATAAGCTCATTCTGATGTTACACTCATCAAGACCTTTCATTTGAGTACCTTCATGCATTTTTGACATATTTTTCATATATATATATATATATATATATATTATTATGCATCAATTGAATCGTTTTCACATTCTCTACAAGGATTCTAGGCCAAACAGTTGACTAGATTAGTAACTTGGAAGAAATTTAGAGTTTTCATTTTTACATGTCCGCGTGGCTATGCTATCAAGTCTTATCAAGACCTATCAAGAGTTAACTAGATTAGGGTTTAAAATTAGGGGTGTGCGAATAATTCGAACTTACAAATTATTCGTTCCGAATCGAATAATTTGAATTTTCGAATTATTCGAAATTCGACGAACAATTCGAAAAGTTTCGAATTATTCGAATTATTCGTCGAATGTTGATTAATTCGAAAATTCGAATTATTCGGTTCAAATTTCGAATCGAATATCAATATTCGATTCGATTCGATTCGAACGATATTCGCACACCCCTAATTAAGAGCTTTCATTTGAGTACCCACATGCATTTTTTATATATTTTTCATATATACATATATATATGATATATATAAAATTTATATATATCATATATATGTATATATGAAAAATATATAAAAAAATGCATGTGGGTACTCAAATGAAAGCTCTTAATGAGTGTAACATTAGGATGAGCTTATATCTTTAAAAAGGTCAATATTTAAGAAAGTACAGTGCAATTTAACAAAAGTCATTATTTAATAAAACAAAATCTTATTTTTTTAATTAATAAATTATTAAAAAAAAAAATAAATAAATACAAACCTGTCAAAACTATTAACAGGATTTTTTTTCTTCAAAGGAGTACTCGGCCATTTATCAGAAGAAGTATCAGTGTCCCAGTCACTGATATTAACCACCTCCAGTTCCTTCAGTTCCTCATTAGTAAGCTTGCTGTTCTTAACACCAGATGGCCCAGCGATAGCCTCGAACTTCCTTTTGACGCTATTGGAACCATCCATTTTATTCCTAACCTTACTATCAGCCTCTTTATAGCTATTCTTCATAGCTTCTCCAGTTTCGCAGAAAGTCTCATCAGGCATAAGATCAACAATAGAGTCCAGATTCTGAGACTCGAAGCTGACATTGTTGTCCAGAGAAAAAAAGTCCGACTCGTTAGCTTCTGTTGCGTTTAAGTCTTGAGTTATACAAGTCGCAATTTCACTTTGGGAAAGTTTCCTGGCTAGCTTGGGAGATTTTTCGCTCTCGCTCTTTCTCTTGTCAGTCTTGGGGGTCAATTTATTGTTAAAAGGGTTGAAGTTCTTCCCTTTGAGCAAACTATCAGGAACTGCGTCTTGCGAAAAAGGAATTTCAAAAGCTGTGGTATCAAAATCGAGATCATCTGGATTGATTAATGATTTACTATTATTATTATTATTATTATTATTATTATTATTATTATTATTACTAGATTTAGAAGAAGATTCTTGAGGATTAGTCAATAAAATTTTCCTTTTAGGCTGCGACAAAACTAATTTGCTCTGCCGAGAAACTTTTCCAGAGGGCGTTAAAGTTATCTCAGCATCAGCTTTGCTGATGCCCAATTGTCCTACCCTAGACTGAGATTTCTGGCTCACAGTACGGTTGATAATCAACTCAGGCACTCTGTTCTCCTTGACATTCTTCTTAGGACTCTTTGGTTTCTTCCCTGGGCTTTTAGGAATCTTCACCGGGCTTTTGACCTTGAAGCAAGTCGTTTTCTTCTTGTCGAAAGTCTTGAATTTTATTTTAGAGCGACTCTCCAGCTGAGTGTTCTCTACTATTCCTGGAGAGTCTGACTCGATGGTGAAGTCGCTGACAAATGACCTTTCTGGGAGGTTTACATTTTTTTTACAAGTACATTTTTCTTCGAGTTTCTCTACTTTTACCTTCAACTCTTCGTAGATTTCGAGGACTGTTATATAATTTTCTTTAAAACCTGAGAATAAATAAAAAAGATAAGTGTATTTTATAAAATACTAGATATATAAGAAATGACCTTGTATCTTGGGAACCATTGACATTTTTAAAGATATAAGCTCATCCTGATGATACACTCATCGAGACCTTTCATTTGAGTACCCACATCAATTTTTCATATATTTTATGTTTATATATATCATATTTATGAAAAATATATCAAAAATGCATATGGGGACTCAAATGAAAGCTCTTAATGACTATAACATCGGGATGAGATTATATCTTGAAAAATGCCAATAATTAAAAAATTACACTGTATCTCATGAACTATTGACATTTTTAAAGATATAAGCTCATCCTGATGTTACAATCATCGAGACCTTTCATTTGAGTACCCACATCAATTTTTCATATATTTATATATATATTATATATAATGTATATATATATATATATATATGTATATATGAAAAATATATCAAAATACATGTGGGTACTCAAATGAAAGCGCTTAATGAGTGTAACATCAGGATGAGCTTACATCTTTAAAAATGTCAATTTTAAAACAATTAATAATTCTTTTAATATTAATAAATTATAAATAAAAATAAAATATTTCGGTAAGTTTAATTATAAAAAAATAAACTAACCTTTAAAAATATTATTAACAACTTTCAAAGCATTTTCTAAATCTTCACCAGCTTTAATCGCTTCTTGTTTATTTAAATAATTAATGTTACTCATTTTTTTTTTAATTATTATAATATTATAATTTTTCAATAACAATAAATTCAATCTTCCATATGCACTGATACAAATTTCACTTACAAAATAATTCCATACGCTGAAAAAAAAAAATAAATTAATTAAATCAGTGAAATAAATTATTTAAAATTAAATTAAATATTTACCTGTTCTTATTTTACTACACAAATATTTTTGTAAATAAAAATAAACGACACGAACTAAACAAACCGCCGCCATGTTTGTTTTTGTCTGTACCAACATGACAGGTAAAAAAAAAAATAAATTCTACCAACTTAACCTTAAAAAAATAAAATTCAAATTTAATTCAATAATTTATTGTTATAAATTACCTTAGCTGCATAAAAATATCCCAGTATTTATATATTTACAATTAAAATATTTATTATTAATAATAATAATAATTAGTTAATATTTATATATATATTACAAATTTTAATTAGTGTAAACCACACAGCTGATTTTAAAATAATATATATTAATGTTTTTTTTTACAGAAACAAGTACCGTAAAAATTTTAATTTTATTTATTTATTTATTTATTTATATATATTTGATATTAAGAACCAAATGCTGACTGAGTCGACGAAGAAGGCGGCGGAAAAACTTGGCTAGATTTATTTGTATTACCCTGGGGCGACTTGCAGCTGTCAAGACCGTAGCGAGACATTAGAGCTGAGAGCGCGGTCTTGATTCCCGCGGTTGCAATTTGAGACCATCTTCCTAAGCTGACTGCGTCGTCTCCTGCGTATACTGCGTGTGCATCAAAATTATTTTTTTGAGCATTTATTTCTAGTTAATTATAAATTCAATGTTAATATATTTAATTGGAAATTTCATTTTTTTTTTTTTTTCAGGATGGCGATTAATTTCAACAATTTATTAATTGGTAAGTCTTTAAAAATTAAATTTCTTTTTTTTACTTAATTATTGTTAATGAAAATTTAGATAACAATAATTTAATAAATTATCATTATTATTGCTATTATTATCGAAATTCTTCGATTAAAAATTACAAAATAATAATAAATTTTAATGAAAAATTAATATTATTAAGAGAATAAGAAAAATTTTGTCTCCAGGATAGTTGTATAGATAGATAATTAAGAAAAGACCTTGTATCTTGTGAACTATTGACATTTTTAAAGATATCAGATCATTCTGATGTTACACTAGTCAAGACCTTTCATTTGAGTACTCACATGCATTTTTGATATATTTTTCATATATACATATATATGATATATATAAATATATGAAATATAAGAAAAATTGATGTGGGTACTCAAATGAAAGGTCTTGATGAGTGTAACTTCAGGATGAGCTTATATCTTTAAAAATGTCAATAATTAAGAAAAGACCTTTTGTCTTGTGAACTATTGACATTTTTAAAGATATAAGCCCATCCCGATGTTACACTCAGCGAGACCTTTCATTTGAGTACCCACATCAATTTTTCATATATTAATATATATTGTATATATGTATGTATGAAAAATATATCAAAATGCATGTGGGTACTCAAATGAAAGCCCTTCATAAGTGTAACATCGGGATGAGCTTATATC